TTTAATTTTCCCCAATCTGACATATCTACAGGCAGAGCACCATGCACACAGTATATACATCCAAATCATATGGTAAGCCGCATTTGAAAGTGTGCCAGCTGAATTGTTGTGTTGTCAAATCGAAACTCGCTTTTTTCTTCCCATCGTTAAATCAACCTTTCTCCCATTCTCTCAGTCCCTCCTATCTTGTATAGCACTGCTGCGCTGTTGTCTCCACACCAGCACGCCACTGCCTGTAAAAGTAACTCCAACTGGTAAGCAACAATCAGAACTATTTAGTATTGAAGTGTCAATTGTGTGCGAAGCCAGCCCCATCTGTTGCGGCCAGGATGATAAACGCATTAAAATGTGTACACACCAAACACAGCAGAGGGGTTGAGGGAGAAGGGGCCCGTCTCATAATGACCTGGGGTACGAACACCAAAGTAAGAATGAGCACTTAGAGTGGTCTCAAGTTCATTTTCACTGAGAAGCCCTCTTTGGCATTAGAGCTCGCAAACGGAGCAAGTCAAATTGCAAACACCATTAGTCGTAGACTGGGCTCTGATCACACAACACACACACACACACACACACACAACACACACACACACACACACACACACCACACACACCACACACACACACAGCACACACACACACACACACACACCACACCACACAACACACCACACACACACACACACCACAGGCAACTGCCCGACACGCTTCCCTTAAATAATCGAGCAAGGTAAACGATGAAACCACGGGAAGCGTAAACATTTCATTAGGTGAATATCAAAGCGTGATGTTTGCAGATAACACTGTACGAGTCAACTCGAAGAGATAATTACTGATTTTGATTTTGGCGCCGATCAGTTACTGAGTCCCAAGTAAAACACAGTTAATCTAAAACTGAACATTTGAGTTACATTTTCCGTTTTTTTGATGGAGAACAGCTTGTTTGCTTTTTCGAATGTAGCGATGTTGGTTAATTTATTTTTTAGTCACAATTGTTTTGTTTAAAATTAAAATGTTCCCCCTCTTTTCTAAACAAATGTAGGCTCCACGAAGCCAGAAGGTTTGGGACCTGTTGAGGTGGATGAATTCCATCCCGCATGGGTCACCCGGATCGGACTCCACTGGTCAATACTCTATTGAGGGCGTTGAAAACACGCACATCCCGTGCAGCCTAAATCCTGCTTTGTATCCTCCATCCGCTTGTGCAGAGAACGCAAAAAGTGTCGTGCAAAAATATCAAACAAATTCCTGAGCGGACACGTCAATGTAAAATGGTGCTGAAATGTTGAGGTGAATCCGACAGAGGACATAAAATATTCTTCCATTGCTTTTTGTTCTTTGAGTCTGAGCAACCATCTCAGAGAAATATGTAACATGGGCAGTAAATAAACGATGAAAAACCACTAGACTGTCGGCTCATCCGAATGGGGAGCTTCAGTAGTATGAATCCATTTCTTGCTCCACACCGCCTAGAAGACAAAAGGAGACAAAGAAGATTAGGAGGCATTTCAGGACGTTTTGCCACACATCTGCGATCTGCACATTGTCTTATTATCCGTCACTAATTAGGCAAGACTTTCTTGCAACATATTGCCTAAAGAAAGGTGTCTTTCAAATAAATCGCTCGTAATATATCATATAATACATTGTTGGCAATTACTTCCCCATCGCTTGAAAGGCTCGATACAGCGTTAATCAGAAGCCAGTGGTGTACTAAATTGACGCTGTCCTACAAACCAAATTCTCCAATTTATTTATGTAAGCGGTAAAACTAATGAACGTAAGCACAACATGTAACACTCAAATCCAGGCGCTGGTGGATGTCAATTTCAGACCCAAGCAGGATCGATTTTCATTCCCTATTAAAGAAAATCGGCCCGCCGGTATATTTGACGCACACCTTCACTCAACTCCTGAGGATCACTTCCTTCAGTTTCGAGAGACACTGAGGCCACAAAACATTGATGAACTTTGAAACCGAGATGAGATGCCAAGTATCTGCTTGAACTAGCATCACAGAGCAGCACACTGAGTTTACATGGATGTTTCCTTCTGCACTTTTTCTCTCACGACAACAGGGCATGTTTGGTTTGTTCTTTGAGGGAAATAGTTTTTTTGAAGCTGTTCTTGGCCTGTGGAAAAATGTAATCATAAGAAATGACTCTAGAAAAGCTGCAGATAGAGCCATAAGAAATGAAAGCAACTGATTATTTAATGTTTAATGTTGTTTTTATCGGCAATCATTTAAGCTTTGTTAGTTCCAGGTTGAATATGTGCAATAAGTTAATTTCAATACGTTTTGCAATACAATAAACATTGAACCAGTCCGGCCCTCGACTAGTACCCATTTTTTAAGTTTGGCCCACTGTGTATTTGAGTTTGACACCCCTGACCTAAGTGATCAAAATCACGTGCTAGATTTGTTTTCCACTCTTGAGTTAAAGCTTTTTTTTGGCCCATGATTAAACAATTATCTGAAGGGCAGTTAGCTTTTAGCCACAGTGGGAAAATCTCTTTCTGAGTTGCTTTGTTCAAATTAATCCCTAAAAAGTGTAAACCGTGCAGTTTAACTTGTTTTCCTCGGTCTGATTGAAACACATTATTCACCATGGATGGGCAACGGGATGTTCACTGATCTGTGCTGCGGGGCTCAGATGTTACAGACCCACACACACACACAGACAGATACAACTGCTTTAGAGCCAGGCCCTGCATGCAGGTTCTGCTCAGCTTCGTGGGTGGAACAATGCATTAACAAAGGCAGGGTTGAGGGTTGAGATCCCACTGGGCCGAGCCATCTGTCACAGTTCACTGGTCTGTGTGCAGACGCAGTAATAGCAGAACACAGAAACGTGTTTTAAGTTAGCAGGATATCTCAAAACTCTAAATTTTCAATGAAGTATGGTCGAAAGCAATGTATCTCCAAGAAGTATAGTATTTATGAGATAGGAAAATAGCCTTTTTATTTGATCTGCAGGTCTTTTTTTAAAGATAAACCAATGGAGTTTCTAATGGTTATTGAAGTAGGAATATTTGATTAAACCATAAACACTGAATAAACTTTGAGCGGCATCACATTTTCAGATTTCTCATCGGGGAAATAAGAAAATCCATTGCATTACATCCAAAATGTGTACTAAGAAAAGATCTTACCGCCTGGGTTGCGTCTGAGGATATATCTTCTGCCTTCATCATACAGGAAGATGAGGAGGGAGTAGGGCAAGGCACAGAACCACCAACATGGCCTAAGATAGGGATCGACAAACACAAAGATTGAGCACATCACATAGGGACTTTAAATAACATGTCTTTAAAGTGTGTTTCAGAGCTTGTTCAAAGCAAAAGAAAATATGTATGAACTGATTGATTCAGCCAAATGTTATGTTCAACTCATTCCTGCAGAGAACTTTATATATAATTGGAGAGATAGCGATCCAAGACAGAAATAAAGAAGCAAAACAAACACAGACGAGACAGAAATAGGAGCACTAGACTCTCAGAGGGAAAGGAAGAGAAGCCGGGGTTAGTCAAACATCGGCAGAGAGAAAGGGGGGTGGGTGAAGGGTTAGAAGATTAAAGGCAGAAGCAGGAAGAGGCAAAACAATGAAGAGAGAAAATACGGTGGGATTTGAGCTACGTGTGAGCTAATGAGCCTAACATGCTTTTATGGCGCTCTATTTTACTCTGTTGGGCAAAGAGTCTCGTTAATACAGAAGCTCTCCTGCTTCGTTCTGCCTCTGAAGTGGAAATGACCAGTGACACAAGATATTATCCACCTTCCACAAGATAATAGGCGCTTTCACACCAAGTACTTACTTAGTTCATCAGAAGTCTTTAGTTCAGACTAGGTAGCGACTAAGTGGCATAGGAACTTAGTAAATTGGCCCCTACATAATGTGTATTTAATGTTTTGTTTGTGCCAGTGTGTGCTTTACTCACTTAAGGGGGTACATTCTGAGGGCAATGTCCATGCCCGGGCAGTACGACAGGAAAGCAGCCAGAGCTGTCTCCTCGAACAGTCCAAAGATCAGGATACGGTTCCTTTGGAGGCAAGGCAACAGAGTTAACTTTTGTAAAAGCCCAGGATCATTTTACAAAGTGTTTCGATGTACATACTTCATTCCTTGTTGCAGGATGGAGTTCCTCCTGGTCTTACAGATGATGAGATCGGCCCACTGGACGACCACAATACTGGCGAAGAACGCTGTGTGACATGTGAACTCTATGATCTTTCTGCGCTCGTATGTCTGGTAGAGGGAAAATGGGAAAGAACATTAGCTCAAATAATCTTCCCTTTAATATTTGAATGAGCTCAAGCTTAGAAAGTAGAGCGTCACTTACCCACTGCTGTCCGTAGCTGTCTTCCAGGTCATTTATACTTTTGTCGTCCCACTTCATTCTGATCCCCAGCAGGTCCATGGGGAGGAAGCCGTTTTCAGCCAGGATCACAAAGTATGTGAAGAACCCAGCTGTGGCCTGCATCATACCTAACGGACAGGAAGAAGAACAGTTTTATGGCTGTAGATAAAAAAGAAATGCTTCAATATACTTCGGGAAAGCTTACCAATCTGTCCGTAGGCTATACTGATGAGCCTTTCATTTACAAGTTTATCTGTTTTGGGGTTCCTGGGCTGTCTCTTCATGATGTCGCTCTCAGCTTCTTCATAAGCCAGGGAGATGGCAGGTACCTGGGAGAAAACAAAATCAAAAGGTCAATTCAATATTTGATTTGACAACCATAATAAATAAGACCATCTGTCATGTCAAAGAGCTCACCATGTCAGTTCCCAGGTCGATACAGAGGATGGTGACGGTTCCCAGGGGCAGAGGGATGTTGGCGCAGATGAAGAGGAGGAAGGGGGAGATCTCAGGGATGTTACTGGTCAGAGTGTAGGCGATGGACTTCTTCAAGTTGTCGAAGATCAAACGGCCTGATGAGAGAACAGAGTGTTGTGTCAAACCCTGCAGCTGAAAGGCCTTTAAAGTGTTCTGTGAAGTAAAATCTGTTACCTTCTTCCACTCCAGTGACGATGGAGGCAAAGTTGTCGTCCAGCAGGATCATGTCGGCGGCCTGCTTGGAGACGTCAGACCCCAGAGATGGCCCATAGCCGACATGATGTGTCCGCCTTGCTTCAGAGCAGGAGAGTCGCTTCACGACCGTCACCTGTCACAGCCACAATCGGCTCCCTGGCAGAAGAAGAGAAGAGAGAAGCCGTTGAGAAAAACATGAGCAATTTCTTCAGAAAGAAGAAAAGTGAGTGGAAAAGTTAAGATTGAACGCAACGAAAAAATTATGTCCAACATTTTAGAAAAACTGTCTTTTCATAAATACTAAAGTGAGGTGTCAACTTCCGGCTTCAGAGAGAAGCACTATTCGGCTGCAGGTGGATCCCACTTTTAATTCAAGCAAATCATCTTATCAGGCCCATCTGACAGTACAGGACAAGAGACAGAGGTGGTCGGAGATTACATGTGACATAAACAGTGGATGTGCTGCCTGCTGAATAAGGGATTACCTTGAGAAAACAACACACATACAACGATTTTACAAATATTTATGAGCATTTACTTTTTAAAACTGCAGTTATCTAGTTTGAAGCCCGAAAAGTCTGCATCTTAAGAAACGTGGACATGGAGGGAACTGAATTGAAGTGACTGAGTTGTCATAATACATCTTCCAACTGCCTTCACCCAGGAAAAATGAGACACACGGAATAGATACGTTATTTAGGAGCATTCATTACTACTGGGGTTATTTTCGCATTTCAGTAGAAATGTTTAGTCATTTTTTTCGCTTAAGTTTGTAAAAAGCACGAAGAACGAAAAGACTGGTTTGTGGTCTCGATCAGGTCAAATTACAGCAACAAAACCAACCATTCAAAGAAAATAAGTTCCACACCGCCCCGCAACACTCCACTTCATGCCTACTGACTACACCTTTGTGAACTTATTTCACTTCGAGGTCACAGCTTACGAGTGTTGGTGGGGCCTTGATTATTCTGCTACTTGTGATCCAGTGGCAAACACACACCCATCATAAATAAAGCATAAGGGGGTATGGTTACGTCAAAATTATTTCCAAAAATCTTGTGACATGACATAACAAGGCAGAGGCAGAATGCGTGAGGGACCTGGAACTGCTCTGAAGCACCTCAGTAGGTCGTGCGAGTTAGAGGCTTCCTGTCCTGGCAGCCTCCCCAATGATCAAGTTTCTGCTGGCGGGGAGGTTCTGGCAAAACACTACCCGTGTGGCTGACTATCAGGAGTCGTCCAGAATAAATCTCTGCTCGGGGAACAGATCTTACAGGTCTCCACCATGGACTACAACAGGACCCTTTGCCACTCTGGAAGAAACGAGATCACTAAGCCTACCTAAATGCACATTATGATGTCATTTGCCCTCTGGTCAAAACATTAACAAACACCAGGCTGTTGACACATCATAAAAAACCAAAGAAATTGGCATTGTGTCAAAGATAGAAACAGTACACAAACCCGTCACATTCTAAATACACTTATACTTACGCAATTTATTAACAAAACGAGAAGGAGACTATAAATAGGGAGATATTAAGCCATTGGGGGATTTAAACCTACGGGTATAATCAGACCAACTCGACCAAAAAGGAGCCAGAGAATAAACTTCGAAAGAATCAGAGATTACATATATATATCCAAACCATTAATAAATACACAACAAAACAAAGGCTACCAATTATGTAAAGTCCTAACAAAAATTTAAGAGAATAACAAAATACAATATATTCGGTTTGGGATACTAAACAGACAACAGTCTCAACCAGTCTCGTGGCCTTCGGACGATGATGCCAACACCCTTTGCAATGCCATATGGAGATGATACACACTATATACACATAGATGACCCAGGATAACGAGCGGAGCACTTTATTCAAGCATACCATTGAATTATAGAAAAGAGATGTATTATTATTTAGGTTCACTTGAGGGGGATTGCAACGGCACAGCATTGTACATATCATTTTCAACCCACAACTACCAACCAAGCGAAGCAGGCCAATTGAAAAAAGCTTCATGTGAGATAATATTTATTTCATTTTGAATATGAGTTACTCTTTGATTCCAGCGCTCCTGCATTTTCCGACCGCAATCTGGGCACGCACCCACGAGGAGGGTCGATCATGGACATAGGCGCCCGATGAAGGCAAAAGGTTCCAGTGACAGTTCAGCCTCTTCTGTGTCAAAAGCAAAGCCTTCGTGGGAACTGGTCGTGGGCAGTGTGAACTGCAGAAACCTGGAATAGAATACAAGTCCAACAAAGCGCAGGGCTGAGGACAAAAATGTCGGCGATGAACGTCATTCCTGAGTAGTCCTTCCAGTTTCTGCTCCGTTTTGTCAATTAATTCCACCGTCTATCGCTCGGTAGCCGACGAACTCCTCTCCAAAGTCCTCGCGAGTTGTTCAAGGTTAGGCGTTCTGGAAAGAGTTCTCTCATCTCGTCGTCCAGCAGGTCTGCTCTTTGCCCAGTGCATCATCGATGCTTGGAGCAGCGGTCCAGAATCCTTCTGGGGCCGCCCTTCATCACCACGCAGGTGCTTGGTACCCCTCGTCACCCCGCTGAACCCGTTGGAATGGAAAGCGCTTAGCAGAAAAAATACACCAAAATAAAAACAGATCAGGCCCGAGCCATTCTTCTTCTTGTTTGTGCGGAATTTTGTATGAAGACCGCCGACTAAACGGATGAAAGAAAAACGAGTCAAGGCGCCAAAAGCCATGTTGTATGGCTTCCCATGACCTTTAAGCTTTAATCATTCAAATCTCCTTCCATACCTGTACTCCTGTTAGTCAGAGTTGACGGATCTCAGAAAATCTGAGAGTTTTTGTCTCCATTTCTGCAAACTGATCAGAATCCACTAGCCACAGCTCGATACCATTTCAGCAGAGCGGACTCAGAGGCGTCACCGGCCATCGTCTCTCTGGTGGAGGAGACGGACAACATTTAAGACACTCACCATAGACGTATATGGTACACACACCACAAAGGTCTACGCAGGAGTCACAGATAGCACGCTTTTAGTTCTGCTGGGAGAAATTGGGGGTTTCTCTATAGAATAACGTCTGTGAGTCTGATTAATCAAGACATCCGCACAGCTTAAGCTTAAGACCAAGGACATAATCAACAGATTGCAGCAGTGTAGAATGAGGGCAAATAGCCGGAGGTATAATCAAGTTGGAAAGTCATTTCCTACTTGCCCTTTCAATTGATATATTTAATAATAATTAAATGGCATATAACACATCTGTATTCTTTTTTTGTGGGTATGCAAAATAAAAAAATCATAAACACAGGGGGCTTCCAGTAACGTCAGGAGGCGCAGTAAGCCCCTACAGTTGAGGTTAAAAACTGGCTTAACCAGTTGGGCCCACACTTTCAGCCTATTCATTTTGAAAAAACAATGACGCACACACAACACACACTAGACGACAGAGCAAAATGCCAGGAAGACGTGCGGCACATCTTGTGTTTTGTTTGCTGTCGCCGTGTGTTTTGGTGGGGGGTTGGAAATAAGATGCTGGTTACAAAATGTGGAGTGTTAGAAGGAAAACAAGCCGTTAGCCTGAATGGAAAACATCTGTAGATATCTCTGAAAGGCTAATATAATTTGCCATATTATCAAATGACAGGGACAATACATTTGTAGCATACAGTGTATTACTTTATGTATTAAGCTTTTGGGCACCGTATTTGACTGAATTCATATCGTTTCTTGTTTAACATAATGTTCAGGACTAAGTAATACTGGATACTGCTCATCGTTATCAAGTCACTTGAACTGGTTGTTGACATTACTGGAAATGAGCAAAATATCAGCGAGAAACAGAACAATGGGGAAGAGGATAGGTTTGAAAAAGGGCCAGCATTCAAAGCTCGGAAAAACTGAATCAAGTTAGTTACAATAAGCGTTTAATCTGTGCGCCACATAAGCACACAAACTGAAGAACCTACAAAAAAATGGAAAAAACTGTTGAATAAAAAGGAGAAAAGTTAACTACAGTCTGTGCTGTGTTTACCTCTTGAGGACGGGCAGGCCGGACTGCTCTGCCAGGAGAGCGGCGGGTTGGCAGAGGGACCGGCGATCTTAGGCGGGGCCACCGCTCCCAATGTGGCGGAGCTCTGTCGAATGAGGGGCCGCTCTTGGTGCTCCCGTGGTGTCGCTCGTGATCTGGTTGTCCGAACCCAACATGTGGGGCCACTGGTCATCCCGTTCTGGGTCAGGGGTGCGCGCGGTCCTTGTCGGAGCAAGAATGGTGAGGTGGAGCCAGGGTCACCCACCCACGGCTTCCAAGTTCTTCACCAGCAGTTCTTCTTGGGCCATTTAGCGCTTAGCGGCAGGGTCAACACACCATGGCAGACGACGCTTGGCCTTCAGTTAGTTGTTTTAAGGGATTCAGGATCTTTACCCTTTATTAGACGGAAACACCCCGGCACTCAGGCAGTGAACAGTTGGCCAGGAGACCTTCTGGCAGCGTGGCGACGATGATACCGATGAGTGAAATTGCGGCCTCCAGCCAGCTGTTCATCCAAGGATGAGCGAGAGGACGAAGAAGGAGATCACCCAGGAAGACGGCCACGCCGGTGATATGTGGATGAAGCTCGATTCGCCAATGGAGACTAGGGGTGCGTCGCGACTTCGGAGTCCAGAGGCCGAGCGTGGCGATAGCACGGTGCCCTGACGGTGCGGTCTCCACAGCTGATCACAACACCACGGGCCAAGTTCGCTGTGCAGCAAAGATGAATCAATCAAAGAATGTAGCAGTGTCTGCTAAAAGGGCTTTGTTGATCCCTGACATCATACCTTGCA